TCACATAAGATCTTGAACCTCACTTGTGACTTGAGCCAAATGGCAATCAATGGAACCTTGTAAGCAATACAAACACGGACCTCAGAACTGCTTCCCAATTTAGGCACGGGGCCTAGAGGGTTTTAACATCCCCCATTTGGGTCGCATTGTTCATCATGCGGTCCAAACACCACAAAACGTTCCACTGGCCACGGCTTCAGCTACGAAATCGTGTCGTGCATTCTTTTACTTGCTATCGCTACACCGTTCATTCGTTGTGAAACATGCCGGGTTCGATTGTATGAAAAGTGAAACATTCATCCACCAATCGAAGTGCACTCCCATATGCAGGTGTATACAATACACAATTGTCACGTCATTTGACCACCAGTGAACATCCCAGCTGCCGCATTTGCGCATCGCGCAGCCGTCATCCATAGAAAATGGGTTGGCCATAAGAGTCCAACAGAGGCGCCTGCTCGTAAGCAATCTGCATATCTCCGGCAAAGAAATATCGGTGAGCAACCAATGCAAATCATAGCCATTCCAGATACCATGAACAATATATATATATAATGAAAAGAAATCATCCATGAGGTAATAGTTCCATCCATGAATATCCAGAATGTCATAGTCGTCGGAATATGTAACCATATACACATCCATTCATCTTGGACGCATGAAATCATATCATGACGTAAAGTCGTTCCATCGCAATGGTGTTGATGAGACGCAAGCAACGGATGGGGACTAACCCACATCGTGCCGCAATCAGCATCTTCACTGCGCATACCTGTCCCCAATGGACAGTCTGTGAGTGCGTCGACGGAACTCCTCGTCCAAGTTCTTCTGGGCTTCTCGTGCCCGGACACACTTCTTGTTGTAATCCTCTGGTAGCCAGTGCCCTTTCCGAAGGCACCAATCCAGTAGAGGTGTGTCGCACTTGTTCGGGTCGACGGCCGAGATGATGGCGCTCACGTTGACCGTGTAACCATATTTGCCAAGGTTCAGGCCATCCCTCACGAATGATATATACTTACAGTTGAAAGCCAGTGAAAAGCATCTGAAAATAATATCACCCACCGGGTGCACTCGGTCCTTGACCAGGAGCTTCATTTCGTCCTTGGTGACATCGAGGATTCTCGCTGCAATCCACAGCTTGTAGAATGTGTATAGTCCCTCGCATTTGCACACCATCATACGAATATATTCCTCACGCTCCTCAACCGATCGGAAGACTCTTGTCCGAACATTCTCCGATTGAGAAATCTTCAGTGCTGTTGATGGCAAAAGTATACCTTCCTGATCGTGCTCGGTGATGTTGGGGTATCTCTTGAAGTCATTATGGTAAGGGCAGCCCGGCCTCCCCTCGAGCCTGGCATTCAACGTCCTCTCCTCACCACCCTCGAACATCCCCCACATCTTGGACATCTGGAGTGCGATAAACCCTGCCATGTACTGAGCCTCACGCGGCTCATCAAGGCAGATCGCCATCCGCTGGGAGTTTATGATATCCCGTGACGTCAGATCAGTGTCGCGGTAATACCAACCGCTGTCATCCTCTTCTGACGCATAGCCGGATGTATATCCTTGCGTGTCCATGTCGTCTTCTTCTTCCGGAACTTCCTCCGCTTCGTCATCATCCTCCTGTGCCGCCGCATCGTGGTTGGCTTCTTCCTGTGCGCGCTTGGCATCTCCCGAGACGTTGGGGTTTTGGTTGTCCTCCTCATCGTCGGAGTTGACGTGGATGTAGTACCTCCCGGTGGAGATCAGTTTGCGCCTCACATTCCAGGCACAAGCAGAAGGGATCGCGGTCGCACATGACGGACATATCCGGCACCTCAGTCCTTCCCATGTCTCATCATTCAGGATGACGACTTTGCTGATTTCGTCCCTGACCTCGTTGACCTGCGCGTTGAACTCCTCCATCTTGTTGTTCCGATAGAGTTCGCACGCACGATCAACCATGTCTATGATGTAGTGCAGATTATCGGCACCTGTCTCGGTCTCGGGCATCCTCTCGCTGATCTTTGTGACGTTCTGGAGGAACATCGCAGCCGACTCTTGGGATGAGTTGACGAAGCCAGGGCAGATCACGTTCTCCACACACTTCGAGTACGCTCTCTTGACATCAACGTACTCCAGGCGTTTCCCTCCGTTGCTTCTGCCAATCCAAATGGACTTGACCTCATAGAACGGGACCACGTCAAAGACCATGAAAGTCCCATTTGCCGCGACTCCAGCTCCATACCGCGCGAGGGTTGCACTGGGAATGTAGATGATCGCAATCGGATCCCCTTTCCTTACGTTCCGTAGCGTCACCTTCGTTGCCACGTTCATCTCATCCCATGGGGCAAACGCTCCAAAGTGCAGTGCCAGCCTGTTACCGCCATCGATTCCGCCGGGGACTAACCCACAGCGTACGATGCTTGGCAGGTTTTCCACGTACGTCACATGGAATGCTCCTCCGAGAGAATCACCCATGTTCACGGAATACCTATTTGCCAGTGCGGATGAGCTC